TACTGATGAACCAGAAGCTCCAAGAGTTCCTGCAGCAAGTAGAAAGGTAGAGGTTGTGATCCAGGAGAGAAGAGATACAAAGCCTGGCGTGCCTCATGTCCGAGAGTGGGATAAAGGCAAAGGTAAGGAGGTGTAGATGCAGAAACACTGCACACTGCTGCTTTCATGTCCATTTTGTATGGTGAGACTGAGAAGCAATGAAGTAAGTTTTTGGAGTAGGCTTTGGGGTTATTTTGAGTGTAGTGACCTTGAGTTATCACTCCATTGCAGTACTTCAGAACTGATTTTAATCAGAAATCAGCAGCTGTTACAGTAACCAGAATATCTACCACTCTTGTTGAACTAAGGAAGCTACTGGTTTATGGCTGTGTCCTCTAGAGAGAATCTCATCTTCATCTTCTAATAACTAAGCTCTTAATGCTTTGGTTTCTATTTTCTATTTAGTTAGACTCATCTAGCTGATCAGCTGTTTTTTGTAACCAATGACCACATTGTTAAAGTACCTTACAGTGACCAGGATGAGTTATGTAGAGGATGGCTTATCTTTAAATACTCAGTGCTTTCATTCCCACTCTGTAAAGAAAGCGAACTGTCAGCTCCACCAGCCAATCCAGTCCTAGGTGGAAAAGTAACTTCAAATGGTTTTACACAGCTGCATCGTCTGTTTGCTGATTTGTTTTCCTTCCTTTCTGACTGATCCCCAGACTCTGAAATCTATATTCAATCTACCATTTTTCTTTTTTCTACCAGAATTGATGTTTGGACAGTCTATATTCAAATCTATATCCAATCTACCATTGTGAAATCTATATTCAATCTACCACTTTTCTTTTTTCTACCAGAATTGATGTTTGGACAGTGGTTGAAGAAACAGGAAGAACTCAGAGATGAGCGAGACCCAGAATTTGCACCACCTTCTGCATACTTCCTGGGACAAAAGAAAGGTGGTGATTACAGAAGACAGAATTCGGAACCAAATGACGCCTCCCCTGAAAAACTGGAACCAGAAACAGCACAAAACCCGAGGATGCCATCAGTGCAGGCCAACGGCAGCAGCACTGGAGAAGGGGCACCATCCGTGCAGGCTTACAACAGCAGTGTTCGAGACGAGTCAGCATCAGCAGAGCCCTGTGGCAGTAACGCTCGAGCTGTGCCATCATCGGAAGATGACAGCAGTGATGATGAGGATATGCCACCATCAGCACAGGCTTATGGTTACGGTGCTCAACGTGTGCCACCGCCAATGCAGGCTTATGGCTATGGTGCTCCACATATGCTGTCATCAGTGCAGCCTTATGGCTATGGCAGTCATGATGTGCCATTTCCAATGCAGCATTATGGCTATGGCACTCCAGGTACGCTTCCACCAATGTCGGCTTATGGCTATGGCGCTCACAACGTGCCACTCCCAATGCAGGCCTATGGTTACGGCCCCCAGGAGGCACCTCCAGGAATGCAGCCCTGTGGTTGCAGCACCCAGGATGCACCTCCAGGGGTGCACCCCTACGGTTGCAGTGCCCAAGGTGCGCCTCCAGGAATGCAGCCCTGTGGTTACATTAACCAGGATGTACCTCCAGGGGTGCAGCCCTGTGGTTACAGCGGCCAGGATGCACCTCCAGGGGTGCAGCCCTGTGGTTACAGCGGCCAGGATGCACCTCCAGGGGTGCAGCCCTGTGGTTACATTAACCAGGATGCAGCTCCAGGGGTGCAGCCCTGTGGTTACAGTGACCAGGATGTACCTCCAGGGGTGCAGCCCTGTGGTTACAGTGACCAGGATGTACCTCCAGGGGTGCAGCCCTGTGGCCACAGTGACCAGGATGTACCTCCAGGGGTGCAGCCCTGTGGCCACAGTGACCAGGATGCAGCTCCAGGGGTGCAGCCCTGCGGCCACAGTGACCAGGATGCAGCTCCAGGGGTGCAGCCCTGTGGCCACAGTGACCAGGATGCAGCTCCAGGGGTGCAGCCCTGCGGCCACAGTGACCAGGGTGCAGCTCCAGGGGTGCAGCCCTGCAGCTACAGTGACCAGGGTGCAGCTCCAGGGGTGCAGCCCTGCAGCTACAGTGACCAGGGTGCAGCTCCAGGGGTGCAGCCCTGCAGCTACAGTGACCAGGGTGCAGCTCCAGGGGTGCAGCCCTGCAGCCACAGTGACCAGGATGCAGCTCCAGGGGTGCAGCCCTGTGGCCACAGTGACCAGAATGCGTCACCTTCACCGCAGCCCAAAAGCAGTGGTGCTCAAAATCAGGAGACACTTTACCAAAGTCTAGATGCTATGCTGTCATATTACAGACAAGTGACTCGAACTGAGCAAAACACTAAGCAAGAGGTGTGAGGTAAAGAACTGAAAGAGAATTTATTACCTTCTGGGCAAGAATACCATTTTCCTGCATCTGGGAGAGTTTCTGTAAGCAGATCAAAATAAACCTGGAGCGCAAAGCTAGTTTACATCACAAGTGAACTTCTGCCCTGATGGTTGTTCTTCTTCTTATTAAAATTACATGAGGTTTTGTGCAGTAATTAGTTGAGTACATTTTTAACTCTTTGCCATTTACACAGTAACTTTGCAGTATATTAATGGCTTTCTTTCAGAAGACTAACTCTTCTTTTACTCTGTTGCTCCCCAGCTAGCTTCTGCTCTGGAGGTACTATGTGTTCAGTTCCGTGTGTAGAAATGGTATTTAAAAGGCAGGTTCTCTGCTGCTAAATAGAGGATGGTTTTAAGAAATCTGTTACCTACTGAATCTCCTGCCTTTAGGAAATGCAGAATCTTACCTCATAAACAGCGGTGTTTCATACATCCCTAATGGTTTTTGCATTCCTGAGATCTGTAACTCGTCATTCAGTGGAGGGAAGTGGAGTGGAGAGAGGCAATGCAGAGATCAATAACTAATGGTGGTTAGACTCAAATAAATGCTTCACAAAAGCAGCAGTTTTGACACCTGAAATTACTGGCTCGCTGTTTCAGAAAATGCTCTCTTTTGTCATCTGTTGTATTTATGGCTTTATTTAATCCTTTCTTTTTTCCTAAAACTTGCACTACTGGAGTCATTATATATAAAAGCAGACTAACCATAAAGCTTTTATTTCAGACTGGAGAATAATACCTATTTATCATGTCGAATACTCTCATTTCTGAAAGTAAGTGAGACACCATTTGTGTTGTAAAAGCTCACACAAGGATAAGGTCTAGAAAAGCAGGTTAAAATGGGCAGTGTTACATATACAACTGTGTATATTCTGTTCTCTATTTCCACCTGCAGTACTGTGTCCAGCTGTGAGGGTAACAACACAAGAGGGATGTGGAGTCCAGAGGAGGCCACAGAGATGCTGCGAGGACTGGAGCAGCTCTGCTCTGGAGCCAGGCTGAGAGAGCTGGGCTGGGTCAGCCTGGAGAAGAGAAGGCTCCTGAAGGGGAGACCTTGGAGCAGCTCCAGTGCCTAAAGGGGCTCCAGGAAATGTGGAGAGGAGCTTGGGACAAGGGCCTGTAGGGACAGAACAAGGGGAATGGCTTTAACCTGCCAGAGAGGAGACTGAGATGAGTCCTTAGGCAGAAGCTCTTCCCTGTGAGGGTGCTGAGGCGCTGGCACAGGGTGCCCAGAGAAGCTGTGGCTGCCCCATCCCTGGCAGTGCTCAAGGCCAGGTTGGACACAGGGGCTTGGAGCAAGCTGCTCTAGTGGAAGGTGTCCCTGCCCATGGCAGGGGTTGGAGCTGGATGAGCTTTAAGGTCCCTTCCACTGCAAACCAGTCTGGGATTCTGTGAAGCTTTTCCCTTTGGGGACCCAGGTTCTCTAACGCTGAGGCACAGACCCAGTCCCTTACCACAGCAGACCTGCCCTCACCTCTGCGCACGGCACGGCACGGCTCCCACAGGAGACACGCGCATGCGTACTGTGTTCCGCGCGTTCCCTCCGGGCTGCTCAGCCCGGCCCCGCCGCCAGCGAGCATGCGCCAGCGCCGTTCGTGACCACGGGGGGGCGGCAGAGCCCGGCCCTTGAGGGCGGCCCTGGTGGAGCGGGGCTGCTGCCCCGTGCGCTCCTGTCCTGCCGAAACGGGGCCTCCTGTTGGCAGGAGAATGATCCGTGCCCTGAGGAACAGCCCCCCGCGGAGGGCAACACCCTCAGCCCTCCAGAAATAGCTTTATAACAAGGCAGATCCTCTTGGTAGCACCCTGTGCGCTGACACCCGGCACCCGCAGCCTCTTCCCGCTGAGCCCGGAACGTCGCTTCGCACCCACCAGGCAGCTGAAGTGCCTCACTGCTTACGGAAGCAATTCCCCTGTTGCAGGCGCTTTTCCTGTCAGAGGGAGCAGGCAGTACCCCCCCATTACCATTCACTGAGGTAAGAAGCGGTGTTAACTCTTTCCCGCATAACTGCTCCCTTGGGAACATCACGTTCCTGCCTTGACGTTTCCATACCCAGTGTACTGCTGTTCATTTCAAAAACTAAGTTATAATCCCATAAGCATTGTTACCATCCCTTCTCCCACCCAAAGTCACTGCTGTGGGTGTAAAGGAGCTGTGATGATGTCCGTATGTGGAAGTTCAAGGAAAACAAAGCAAAGGGCAAAGGTAAGTGTATGTGCAGCAACCACTGGGATTATAGGGCACTGCACCACAGGATACTTAAGTAGTAATATGAAAAGGAGTATTGTTTTGAATAGGGTTGACCCTAAGGTAATGACTTGGCCAGTGATGGAAGTATATCCCAACCTTTTGTTTAGAGAAAACTTCCAGCTCTTACAGGAGCAGCTGCTGGTACAGCCACATCTTGGACAACTGCAGCTCAACCTAAACCCCCAGGTTAAAACACTGCAGGGTTTAACACTCAGGCCCTGAATCCCATTGTCAAAAGAAAGCAGAAGTTGAAATGGATCCTCACAAATGACCACCAAACCAGCAGATGCACTCAAGCTGCCTAAGGTCACACGTGGTCTTCAGTAATACTTTCCAGTACAACACGGTAATGCCATTTTGAGAACAAAACATACAGGTAAAGAGAAAATATCACATCTTAACAAAAAAGGTTTATTCCAACTACACAAAATGTACAATGTTTCCCAAATGACAGTGAGTTTTCATGACTCTCTGAAGCTGCAGACCCATTGAATAACTCAACGGCTTCTCACCCTGCAGTTTGGTCAAACTACTTTTTGCCAGACTTCTTTATTCCACCACTGGCTGCCAAAAGAAACAACACAACTGGTTAGACAACTGTTATAGAGCTTAGCTACAGATTCAGTACCTCTTAAAGACAAAGCCCCATTAGACTGCCTGTACAGCTCAGATCCCCACTGATGAATTGTTTCTGCATGTGTTACTCTTCTGGGTTTGTGATCTCACACACTTTACTCTGAATAAGTAACTTACGCAACATTAGAAACCAAGTTTCTCCCAGAACCAAATATGCCCCATAAATCTACAACAGAACTAAGTATTTCAACAATTCTTTTGTTCCTCCATTGTTTGGTTCTTGTGCAGCAGGACTATAGTCTGCTTAAATCAAATTTGAGGCTAAGGGAGTAAAAGCATCACTATCCCTGCAGCAACCAGAACCCCCAGCTGGGATCAAAGCTCTATGAAAGCAGGTACTGGAATTATTCCAGTTCTCTGGAATTAGCTGTCCTCTGCAGTCTCTATTACTGAAGAGGCTAAAGCAGGGTGACAGAACACAACATAGTAACACAGCTAAGCTGTTTTTTTACAGCATGTGTCATGTGTGACCAGTGGAAAGGGAAAAAGAACAGCAAGCCTGCTGCAAGGACTGGTGGTCAACAACAGACTTCACACTGCAGCATGATTCTAACACGCAATGCTGAGGCTCTTGGGAACACTCTACCCCTCCTACAGTAACATAACAATCACTGTCTGCCTTGACAAGGAGCAGGTGACTGAAATTCAGTCTAGAAAAAAAGGCAGAGTAACAACGGCAAGAAAGATCTATGAAGAAATCTGTAAGCTGAGGCACCCTATGCAGTACAAGTTTGGGATGGTAAGGACACAGAGGGGAGGCTCAGCGAATTGTTTTCCACTGGTCTGTAACACCAAAGGCATCCCAGGTCCCACACCCTGCACATCTTTTGTGTGCTGATAAATCAGAGGAGGTAGATCCATTTGAGATAAATAAACAAGAAATATCCCGAGTCAGTGGGACTGGTGGCACTCCCTCCAAGAGCACTGACAAGCACTGAAACTGCAGAACTGCTGGCTGAGACTTGAAACTTATCATTACAGCCACCATGTCAGAGGGCTCAGAAGGCCAGCACAGCTCCCACATACACAGAGAGTTCCTAAAGAACTGGGGAACTACAGACCAGCGAGTCTGACCTTGATCTCTGAAACAGAGTCTGTAGCACAGCAAATGGATAAACACAGCCCTGTGAAAGGTAACAGGACTCCTGGAAAGAGTAAATCCTTCCTCACTGACCTGCTGGAACTCTGAGGTTATCTCTAAGTGTATGGATAAAGTGAATCCAGGGGACTTCTTATTTTCAAACAGTGCCTGATGAGAACTTCTTATTTTCAAACAGTGCCTGATGAGATTCCATCACAAAGGTTGTTAGTGGAATGGAGTTGCTACGGGATTGCTGGAAGGGCTCTCAAGACTGAAAGCTTGCTAAGGAATAGGAAAGTGTAAAGTTTAATGGTCTTCACAGAATGGAAAAGTGATTAGGTACATTAATGGACCACAGGTTAAAACCTCCTAGAGGGAATAGGCAGGGAGCACCCTAAACAGCCCTAATCCTATCACTGCAGATACTGGAGGAGTTCAAAATAAATGCAGATTCACACTAACACTACTTCCTCCTCTCACTACCTGAGAGAAAGACTAGTCTCAAGGCACCATCAGGATGCACCCTGCAAGCTTTCTTGCCATGCTAATTTCCAGTCATGTGGGTTTTTCTGCCAGGAATCAAGTGCTCTGTAGGCAAAGCTTACATGTTATGTATCTGAACAGAAAAGGATGGTATGCTGAAAGAAGAGTAGAAATGTCTCTGCACCACCCCACTGGAGGAGGTTAGCATGCCAGACACAGTTATACCTGTTAAACCAGGCCCTGCACCAGTCTTTGGGGGATAAAACTGCATAGCAAAAGAAATAAAATAAATTAGCATCTATTTGTTACTCATCATCTGCACCTGCCATCAACCTGCTGGTGGGTGTTAAATAACCCAGAGGTACGGGCCTTGTTATGTTTGTCAGGCAAAACCATTACATTTGAAGCCAGCAAGCTCTCTGCTTTTCCTGTCGCATGGCACCTCACTTACCGAGAGGACCCTTTCCAGCAGCCTTTGCTTTCATCTCCTCAAGTTTCTTTTGTTCCTCCTTCTGCTTTTGTTTAAATGCCAGATCTGTCTAAAGAAAAGAACAGTGGTGTTCAGTACCATCTCTTCCCCCAGAGAAAGATTCAAAACCAGCTCACAAGCAATGAGAAACAAACATAATGTTCTAACAGCTACAAAAACCTGACTGAATCGATACAAGATGGCTCAATACTAAATAAGCAAAACCTTGCTGAACCATGACATCTTTTTGCTGTACTAAACTTTGTCTGTTTGATCGTTCAGAAATTAAACCTGCTTCACGTCCTGTGGCATCATCTCACTCTGCCCTCTGAAAAATAGATGTTTGAGCTAAAAGCATTCATGAATATGCCATCAGTGGTACTGGGAGCCTGGTGCACAGTGCTGGCTAACAATAAAATTTGGATTATGTGGGATGCAAGCAAATAAGGTTGCTTTTACCCCCCCCAAAAAAAAAAATTAATAAAGATCCTTTCATGCACGTGTCACTGTTTTTCCTGGGTTTAACACATTTGTATCAGTTCCAAGAAATCTAATGAAACCATTGGCAAATTGTAGGCAGAGCAGCTGCTGAGCATCCCTGCTGGAACAGCCTCTGGAACTCATAAGAGCTCAGCCATACTCTATCCCGTAGATACATATTCTTCACAGATACCAGGGCTGCAAAGTACCATGGTCCTTTCTCTTGGTGCTCAGCATTTTGAGGTAACTAAATCTGAGGACCTTGACAACAGATTTTTACAGAATCCTCACCAATCCAGCTCATGGCTCCACTACCTTTATATAGCTGGAAAGCCTTCCTCATTTTAAGTTAAAGCTTCCTTTGCTGCAATCTAACCCTGCTACTTCCCCCGTCACATAGAGCAGAATATTGTTTCTCTCTCCAGATTTCCCACTGGTTTCTTTTCATAGAGCCAATCACAGAACCCCAGCCTGGTTTGTGTTGGAAGGGACCTTAAAGCTCATCCAGTCCCAACTCCTGCCATGGGCAGGGACCCCTTCCACTAGAGCAGCTTGCTCCGAGCCCCTGTGTCCAACCTGGCCTTGAACGCTGCCAGGGATGGGGCAGCCACAGCTTCTCTGGGCACCCTGTGCCAGCACCTCAGCACCCTCACAAGATAAAAAATAAGCTGTGTTGTCTGTCAGTCACCCAAGGCACTAACCAAAGCATTACTTTGACTCCAACTGATCACAAAATCCTGCAAAACCCCACTCAATGCATCCCTGCAGTCTGACACAGGCTCATTAGTAACTACATTGAGAGTGTGGCACCGCAGCAAGCACGATGCTCACCTTCCATCATCTTCCAGTGCCCCGATCCTGCCTCATGCTTGATCTCATTACACGAACTAGCACCAAGAACCTCCTGTCTGCTCTGTGTGCTCCTCACACACAGAGCACTGCCCTGCTACACAAAAGAATTTCCTTCATTTGCTGCAGTTTTACTAAAATCCATCCTGGCTATTAATGTTTACATTCTTAGAACTTGGATCCTGCAAGCACAGAGTTGGTTCTATCATTTCTCTAACAAAGCTAACCTAGAAAGCTATGATTTCTCTCTTCCCTTTTTAAAGTAATGCCATATTTGTTTTTTTTTCCAGTCACTGGTGCCTCATCCATCCTCCATAACCCTCAGAAATAACAGCTTATACCTGTAATCTGATCCCTTACGTTTAAGTATCTCTACCATGAGGTTCACTAGTACCTTATTTACTTAAACCACTTTAGAATCCCTAAGCTTTCTATCCTCGCTCAGGCTCTTTGTGATCACCCCAAACTGTGAGACCCCATATCACAGCCCAGGGACACTCCAGCCTTCACCATGGCACCGGGCTCCTCCGTTAGCCAGCACTGCTGCGTCCACCGTGAACACAGACAGGGTGTCAGCAGGAAACAACGGAAACCGGCGGCCGCGGAAGGCAGCGCATCACTCCCCGGTCTCCTTGCGTGAGTTTTACCGTCAGAAGGACGCTTCATAGAACGTGTACTGCCACGGAAGGCTGAGCCGAGAGGCAACGTGAAGGTCTAAACAGCCTCAACACACGCGGGGCTCCGGCTGGTGCCACAGGCCCGGTACCGCGGCCACCCCTCGGGGCTCACCCACCGCCCTACCTCATCTAGGTCCTTCGACTGCTTCTTCGGCTGCTTCAGCGGCTTCTTCTTGCCGCCTGCAAAGAGAGATGAGACAGTAAGGAAAGGGGAGGGAGTGAAGGACAGGCGGTGCCGAGAGCCCCGGGCCCAGCCTTACCTTCTCGGCCCGACATGGTGCCCGCTCCTCTCCGCCGCACCGCCCCCTGCCCGAGCGCTTCCGCCTGGCTCCGCTCGGCCCCCGTAGCGCTTCCGCTGCCGCTTCCGCCTCAGACGCCGGGCCGGGCCGGGCCGGGCCGCGGGCAGGTAGGAGGTGCTGCCGGGGCCGGGGCGTGCGGCGGGGCTGGCAGCGCTTCGGGCTCTTCGGGGGCGGCTGCCTGGGGGCCAGGCTTGGCCCAGCCCGGCCGCCGCTGCTCACAGAGCTCCGGGTCGCCTCTGGCGCTGGAGGGCGCGGCCTAGGCGGGGGCAGGCGCTGGAGCCCCCCGCGGCGGAGCGCTCCCTCCTGCGGGCCGTCTGCTGTGGCGGAGGCGAGACGGGCGTCGCTGCCCGGGCCTGTGCGTGGCGATTAGAGGCGGTGGAGCTCTCCCCGTGCTGCTATGGGGTGCGGGGTCGCTCTGTTGTGAGATGGAAGGGCCCCTCCGGCACGGAAACGGATTGGTCATGTGGAAAACCCAAGCTTTTCACCCCTCCGGAGCATGAGGAGTGGTTGTGAGTCTGTGCATCGGAAATTCTGGCTCTGTGTTTTGCCGTGGCAAAAGAGACTGCTGCGAAGTAAGGCAGGATAAACTAGTCTTACTCGCCAGCGGTGTGTAGTAACTGGGGTGTAAACTTTTAGAAAGGCTGTTTGTCAATAGTGGGCAGAAGAAACTGTTTTCCTTACAAGGGAAGCAAGAGAGAGAGAAGGGATGTTGTGTCTGAGCATTCATGGCTCTTAGGTCCTTATTAGCTCAGGCTGAGACTGCTTCTTTCAGTCTGTTAGAAACTGTCTACATAACCATTCTTCTAAACCTGTCAGCTTTCTCTTTCTTTTTGCTATACTGGCTTTAAGAACCTGAATATTTGGTAAAACATCTCGTGTAGTAGTGCAGTTAAAAGAGTGAAGTCTTCAGTCTAGAAAGGGCAAAGTTGAGTTGGGGTTTCAGTACGTGGCCTGCAATGTAAAGTAAGTTGTAAGAGTAAGATGAATGAGTGGTGCTGGAGGAGAGAGAACTTAATTCATTTCCATGTTCTTGTGGTTTTGAGCTACCATATTATTATGTATATAAAACAACTGAGAAGATTTTTTATAATGCTACTTGGTGGTATTATTATTTGTTAGAAACACTGAAAAGGAATGAAGCAGTGGTGTTCAGAATCAGTAGCCAGCTAACAGCTGATTAAAACTGTTCTCCAGTAGGAAGAATCCTTTCCTATGGAGGTGCTTGTATTGGCACATATATGATGTCATTAGCCACCTAAAATTAACATGGAAAACTGTTTAAAATAACAAAAACCCCTCTGCAGCAGCTGTCAAGCTTTCTCAATAACCCATGGTTTTCTATGATGTTAGTCAAAACCTAATATAGTCAAGAAGTTTATACACAGGCTTCATATAAAATCTGCTTTGAAAGCTTTTCTGTTTCTAGTTCTTAGAGGAGTGCACTCAGTAGAAAGTCAATATCTTATTTACAAGCTGATAGACAATAAACCATAACTGGCAGTCTGGCTTTGCAGCATAAGCACAAATTTAAGCTCATTTTAAAATGCAGCCCCAGCTGTGTGCTATTTGCCTGATCTTGTGACTCTTCCTTCTATTTTACTTTTCTAGGCTGTCTCGTGAGAACACTCACTGTGTTTAGTTCAGCACTTCTCTGTTTGTCGCTGTCCTCGATGTTTTTGTCTTTGCATTCCTCAACACCTTGTGTATCTATAGAATGTAAGATAAAGGGAATGGTCAAGCCCCACTTCTTTTCTTATGAAGATTTTTTTTCCCCTTCTCTGCCTTTTTTCCTCTTCTGTTCTTTTGCAGGATTGTCAGTACCTGTGACAGGACACACCAAACTCAGGTGTGAAAGCACAAGGCAGGATTTCATACAGCAATTGCTTCTGTGCTGAAGCATTAAATTACTCTGAAGCTACTCCAGCTAGTAGTGGATCTGTACACGATCACTGTTCACTCAGTGAGTGAATTAGTAATGAAGAAGCATGGTGGGAGTACTTTACTAACAGCAGAAAAGCAGGAATCTGTGGCAGAATTGCCCTTTGTTGAAAACTGTGAAGAGTTCTCTAGGTAAGTAAAGGTGTAAAACTGGGACTGTTTTGGCCATTCTTGGATTATAGTGGGTTTGGTGCACATGTAGTTTGAAGAGGTATGAACCAGCCATACTTCAATAGCCATTCTTTTTTCTTCTTCATCCTTGTAGCTCTTTTACTCAGTGATTAAATTCAAGACATGGGGCCAATGAAATATAAGTCCGGGGTGTCCTCAGTGTCCTGTGGTCTGCAGTACCACCACTCGTTGATAAAGTGGAGTCCAAAAATGAATGTCCACATAGTGCGGACTTACTGCTCATCAGCGCCCAAGAGGCCTGAGGCCAAGTCTGCACTAGAAGTGGCCTCAGCTCTTCTGAATCGACTGACAGAGGCTGGGGCTGTGATGGCAAAAAACTCCCTTCAGAAGATGTCTGCGACCTGCAAGAGCTGGTGGGACAGATACGAAGAGTTTGTTGGAATTAATGAGGTTCGAGAGGCTCAGGGAAAAGTGACAGAGGTAAATGTGGAGACAATGTGGACACTTTCAACTTACGTGTAAGCAATATGAAGTATAAATACTGGCTGTGAGGCAAAAAAGATCCTCCAAGGAGAATCATGTCTATTTTTTGTTCTGACTGTATGCACATACTAAGAATGTGTTCTCCTCTGTGCATGTTTGTAAATGCAGTTTATGCCTTAGATTGAAATAGAGCATGGTTTGTTTTGTTGGGGGTTGGTTTTTTAGTCCCTCCAGAATTGATATATTGATTTAGATGTGTCTGGTAATAAGTCTCTAAAAGGAATACTCTTTCTTCTCAGGCTGAAAATGTCTTTATGATAGCTCGAGGGATAGTACGAGAGGCCCGTGAAAATGTAGAAGCCCAACAGATTAAACTGAAGGAAATTCGGGACCGCTTAGACAGGGTCTCACGGGATGACACCCAGTATTTAGAACTGGCCACTCTGGAACACAGGTTGCTGCAGGTAATTTGCAATTTGTTGGTACTTTAGCAGTGGCAAATACGATGAAAATCTGTGCTTTGTTTCCATCACTAGTGGTTGTTTTTGTCGACGCAGTTCAGTTCTGAAGGACAGTGATCTCAATTATGATACTAGTTTTAAATTGATGGTTTGATCTGTGCTAATTTTATATATGTGAAAATGGTATAGCCAATTTGGAGAAGAAAGCTGCAGATAGTGAGCCAAGAAAATGAATCATATGTGAGTAGTGAACAAAAAGCTGGGATTCAATTAATTAACCTTCCATGTGATGAGAGAAGCTCCTTTCTGGTGGTTGATCCATGAAGACTCTCAGCTGCTTTCTGTGTGGCTGTGACACCCAGGCAATTCAGGAGAGCTTTTGTCAGAGAGCAGCAAGAACAAGGCTGCTCCGTGAGAGGGGGCAAGCAGGAAGATTGAGGTGGGCGCAGCTGAGATGCTGCTGTAGGGCAGGCAGTCCTATAGGAGCACCTCAGCTGATGAGCCAGGCAGAGCTGGTGAAAGGAACATGTTTGTTAACAGTTTGTTGATCAGAGCTAAAGACAAGGTGGCAGTAAAGTAAATCCAGGAAATCCAGATGAACCCACAGGAGCAGCAGGGAAGAGGCTGGAAGCAGGTACACCTATAGCAAAGCTCAGGCAAGGTGTGGGTACCAGTGTCTGAGCTTAAACTGAGCTTCTGGATAGTGGGTAGAACACCAGGAAGGAGCTAGGGAGCTATAGTTGTCTAAATAAGGGATCAGGTTTTTGCGGGTGAGATAAAGAAGACTGGATGTATGACTGAAGAAGGGTAGAACTCAAGTCACTGCTGTCCGTAAGGTGGTCTTATGGAAGAAATATACATTTGGAAAAAGAATATTTCTGGGAGATGCAGGGAGAAAGAGAAGACATTTGTCTGCAAACAGGGTAAGAAAGACAATGGAGAGGAATAAGAAGCATGTATGTTGATGAGATGAACCTACCTGAAACGTCCTTCCCAGTGCTGCTTTCAATTCCTATTTAAGGGATTTAGAACTGAGAGGGAGAAGTGTGGTAAAGGTGGTGTTTGAAGAAGCAAGCAGGGCTGAAAGAGCATATGTGGGGAGAGCTCTTGCTCCCTCGTACCTCTTTTCTATCATTAGCATGTGGCAGATTCTTGTGTTGTGTATCTTCTCCTGCTGACCTTTCCCATTTCTCAGTTTTGACTTAAAATGAGGTCTTGTTGACTTAAGTAGGATTAATTAAAAAAATCCCACATTAAAAGGGAAATTCCTGAAACAGAACTATTGGATGTTCACAATTTCCATTCCTTTATCTGTGCTGGGGCTTTGGGTTTGGTTGTGGAGTTTTTTTTACTGTAGACTTTATAGGTTCATATTATACCTTCTCCTTCAAATCACTGTATTTCTTGCAGGAAGAGAAGAGGTACCGAGCTGCATATTTAAATGCAGAAGAATCTGAGAGAGAAAAATTCTCACTCTTCTCTGCAGCTGTAAGGGAAAGCCACGAGAAAGAGCGAACAAGAGCTGAAAAAACCAAGAACTGGTCTATTATTGGTTCTGTACTGGGAGCCATTATAGGTGTTCTTGGTTCCACCTACGTTAATCGAGTGAGGCTGCAAGAATTGAAAGTCTTGGTGCTTGAAGCACAGAAAGGCCCAGTGAATTTGCAAGAAGCCATTAGAGAACAGGCCTCCAGCCACAGCTTACAGCAGAAGGATCTCAGCGACATCATAGCAGACCTGAAAAGTGTGCTGCAAACAAGGACCTCACAGGAAATGAAAGAAGGTGCTTTGTTAACTAGACAAGACAAAGGTGACTCCATAAATATAGATGCTCTTTTAATTCCTTTAAACGAACAGCTCAACTACACTAAGCAAGTCAGTTCATGTCTAGGGAGTTTAGAACAGCAGTTTCGTAGTCTGCAGGAAAGTGTAGCACAAATGGTGTCTGAGCTGCAGAGTGTTAAACTTGCTGTTCATGCTAGAACAAAGGAAAGAACCATGCCAAGGTCTTCAGCAGAAGGTAAGGGCCAGGCTTCTGCTGTGAGAGATGTGATTTTAGAGCTGTGTGATACCGAGCGGAGACTGGAAGCACAGATCAAGAGGAATTCTATTTACAGCACTGCACTGACATGTGCTGTCTTTGCTATTACCCTGCCAGTACTCTACATTATACTCAAGGGGAACTGATCTCTAATTTATTTCATTAATAAAATTAAACTTGCACTCTAAGTACTCAGAGTACAAGGCCAAATGAAGTGTTAGCATTTCTCATTATGCTTTCTCCAGTGTATCTGGAAAACTTGTAAAGACTTAGTGCAGCCACCACTGCAGGGTCCATGTTAACAGCCCTTGTCATGTGTTGCGGGTTTTAACTGCAAACAAGGGAAATGTCACAGTTTCATCTCCTGATTTCATTCACTGCTTTGCTCTTTCACTGTCTATTCTGGTATATCATGGCCAGTCAGTGGCTTTCAATCCGGAGCTGTATTTGTGATGTTTTGCTCAAATGATTCTTTTAATCTGTCATTGATCTGAGTGCTTCCTGTGTAACGCTTTCTGATTTTGCTTCTGATTTCCTCAGAGTTTTGCAGTTTGTCCACACACAAACCATTAGGAGTCATTTTAACAAATGGGTAGAAATATTGGCCTTGAATTCTTTGGTTTGTTTCTTTTGTATATAATAAAGTCTAGATAGAATGCAGTCACAATGTGACAAACAGTAGGGGCCATGGAAATGAGAATTAGATTATAATGATACAATGTGGCTCTACGGCCAGGTGATGCATTTAAAATACATTTCAGTTACACGTACTAACATTTTCCGTGGAGGGGTTATCATGAAATACCCAAAAGCATTTCTGGAGCTTCAGCTACTTGTTGCTGCTAGAACTGGCTTGCAGGGAAAGACAAAAACGGGTCAGGTACAGGGATGTATTAAGTATGATGACGTTAATTCTGCCAGTGCAAGCCAATTATCCTTTCTCTACAGCCTCCTTAACCCATCATTCCCCAGGTATTTTCTGGGTTTAGTAATCATCTATGGAGCAATCGCTTTCTTATCTCTAAAAGTATCTTAATGGAATTTGCTTTGGTATTTAGTCTTTCAATTTTGTCCTCTCTGGCAGTTGCTGTAGGAGGTGCTTGTAAGCCAGCATGTTAATGGCAATAGCATTATGCAAACTGCTATTCCAAATTAATATTTGGAATAAAATGAAAGCTGCCCATTTTTTCCTGGAAGGATGAGGAAAGGCTGACTGAGGAGCAACACTCGTCTAAACAGCTAAACATCAGTATCTGTGTGTGGCCTGACACACAGTTGTTGGTATCACTGTGATAAGAGAGAGTTCTCTCCCAGCAGATAAGCAAATCAGATGTGGAACTCCTGCTCTGTGAGCACTTGTGTGGAAGCTTTGGAGGCAGAGGAGCAGTAAGCTTGCTTCATGATGTGCTCCCTTTGGGGGAGCATTTCAGAATGATTAAATTGTGTTTAGCATCCAGTCTGCTGTGGCTGTATCAGCTCTTTCTGCCTAGTAACCATGATAAAAGAGTTTGAGGTTTTGATTATAAGCTGCTAAGACTGAAAGATCTTTGGGATGGCGACATTTGCTTTATGATACTTCATTTGGTGTCATTAGGTGCTGTTATAATATGACCAAATAAACAAACAGTATTAGGAAAGATCTGTGCTGATTCACTACCTGTGAGGGAGATGTAGTGTGCAGAAGGTGGTTTGGGGAAGGACCACTGCTGCTTTATATACTGATTGTTCAGAGTGTAAAGTGAATAACACGCGTTTGCCAGGGAAGTAGTTTGATCTGATGGCTTGAGAACTGGGATAAGAATTCCCATACACTCAGCCACGTCAAGAAGTATGCAGATCGATCAGAACCAGTTTTCAAGTCTATCCTATTTGATCTTCTAATTTCACAAATTCTATTACAGGTTAAACTTCTTGCAGGAGCTTGATGAAAATCAGAGACAAGTGTGTGATTAAAGGGGAAGGGCTGGTGCAGTCCTTCCAGCTGTCATTTGCCAGCACTAGACACTGAGAATTTTGTTCTATTTTATTTCTTTTCAGTTTAACTATGTGGTTGGGCTCCCTTTTTTATAAACTGGCTGAATTTTAGATATTCAGCATCACTGAAAAGCATGGGTTAGATGTATGAGCATGGTTTCAAATGCTGAATGTCAGCCTCACTGAATTGTACTTGGTGGCATAAAAAATGAATAGAGGTCTGAGGCTGAACTTGTACACAATAAATAAGAGAGTACAAACCCAAGGGTTGTTTATCGGTGTAAAGAGATACGCTTTTTACCTTAAAGAAGGTAAAGATAGTACCTTCTTCTTAAGATAGTTACCTTAAAGATAGTAGGTAGCTTTAACATTACACAGAGTTATAGGAAGAGTAAGTCAGTCAATGAGAACAGTAGCAAAGAGATCAGTTTGCTATCATGATACATGGTTGTTTGAAATACACAAGCTGCAATTTGAAAGGAGCTGGAAGGTACGTTTCCAGAAAATAACTGGATCTCATCCCTCACAGGGAGTTTTGAAGATCCAGGAATAGGTTCTGTGTGCTGTGTTGTACAGCTGGCAGAATTCATTGTTACAAGCCATTATGGGGTTCTTTTTTTTCTGCCCTTCCTTGCAAAATCCTGATGTGAAGTGACAGCAGAGTAATTTCAATTAGGATAAAAACCTTGTAATTAGCTGTGCCTATATAATAATTAGGAGGGCAGCTTTGTATATTCCCTCAATCCTGGATTAATCATCACCCCATTGTGGCAGTGTTTTCAGGCAGAGCTTGGTGCTGCTGTATGCTTAGCCCACAGCCAGAAGGTGTGGCTGCAGCAGTAAGAGCGGTACCTGAGCCAGCTGAAGGCACTATGCAGGAAGATGCTATAACACAGTCTATACACGCAATCTGTTCAGTGCTTTATGCTAAATCTCTTGTCATGGTAACACAAGCTGCAGATAGACAAGTTAGAACAAACGGGCACAGCTGTACAGATGTGTTTGAGCACTCAGGCAGTTCAGGTGCCTTTGCAGTACCAGCAGTGATTTGCACAGCGCACAGTTGACAACTCGGTGCATGTTTCCTGGTGATTTAGCTATGGCTCTATGAATAGTTTGTTGCTTCTGCTCTTCCGGGCTATTTTAGGGTAAGAAAAAGTGTTCTGTAATCCATACCTATGGATTACTAGCAAAGTTTATAAGAAGTGAGTTCCACTTTTGGAATGAGGTCTGTCAGATGAAGCTTTCCTCAACAAGAAAGTTCTGCTTGGGAAGACCTTTTGAGAGTTATATTCTTGCTCCTTCTGTGAGCAGAGGCCTCGCTGGCAGCATGGCTCATCCACCCCTGTGTCCCAACACTCATCAGCCAGTGGTGATGGAGGCTGCAAGAGTTTGTACAGGTCTAATGAGGCCGGGAACTGATTTGTGCATCACATATAGGTCAAAGAAAGCCAGTGCTGACTCAGGTTAATTCCACTGGCAGTCAAGTCACAGAATATAAGTTAAGGAGGGAACCCAGCAAGAACAACAGGAAGCCCTTTGATAGATGTGAACTACAGAAAAACGGGTGGCAGTGGCCTGAGCTTGGCCCATGCTAAGCTATTTTGAGTTTTTACTGCTCTATGAGAAACCACTAGTAACTCAAAAGCAAACAGGGTAGTGGCCATGGAAATAACTTCTAATGAGGTCACTGCAGGCTTCTAACACTGGGTGCATTCTGAGGAAAGTTGCCATTCCTTCCACTCAGGAAAGGAAAGGCAAATGTTGCTTGTGAATACAGGACAGAAACGATTAAATGTAGTGTCACCATCAGGTTATGTGGGTATATGTATTTATTAATGCTTGAGTTCTGAATGCTCAAACATTCTAAGCCTGGTCAGAAGCTGGAGGTGCTCCAGTTGATTTCATTGTAACTACCTGTTTGAAAATGACAGTTTCTTTGACAAAATACTTTCTAAAAACAAATACTTCCTTGTTGTCTGTTCAAAAGCAGATCCTTAAACATCAGCAGACTGCTGCTGGCAAAACTGTAAGTGCCCCAATGAGAGTGACGAAGCCCTTAATCTTTCTAAATGCTCTGACAAACTGAAAACTTGAAAGGAACAGAGTCAAAGTGGGGTGGATGCAGCCAACCTCATGTCCCTGAATTACTGCCCTCAATGTAGTTTATTCCCAGAAGCTATAGACAGGAGTCAGATATCCCTCATGACTTTTTTCACCCTTCTCATCCCCTGCTTGGAGGGGAGGAAGATTGAGAAGGAAATCAAAAGCAGCATAAGCAGCTGCTAACCTTGTGATTATCATAATAATTACGTAAGAAACTTAGCAAACCTGCTTAGAACCAGACATGAACAAGGGCTTTTATAGAGGAGGTTCCTTTATGGATTTAAATGTATTTTAAAAAGCTTATAACAAATGGAAATCAAAAACTGTTTCAATTTGTTCAATATGTTTGTTCTTTGTGTGATGTTGTTTTCAGCTCTGTAATGTTTCAGAACTAGGTTTTTTCTAGTTTATTTTTAAGAACTGTGAAAGATTTTTGTGCAGCTGTATCAGAACTCCTCCCTGAAGAGTGATCTGTGATACCTGAATGTGATATACCTGAATGTGGTAGCCTGTGGTGGTTTTACAATATCCTTGTCACTCCAGAGGGTTGTAAGTGCAGTAAGAAGAGGGGCACTGTAATGTGACCAGAAGCTCTTCCTGCCCAGCTGCCAAGGCAGACTCTGCAGCCAGCCCCCTGTGCCCACCCTGCTGTGGGGCAGAAGGAAAATCCACTCTTTTCCAGCATGCTCTCATGGGGCTTTTTACTGCTTTTTAAGTGAAGCTTGCTGGTGGTTTTTGCCAGGCAGAAGGGGCTGCAGGTTGGGACTGGTTCTGGAGGAAAGGCATGAAGGGGATTAGTGTTTTGAGTCAAGAGTGGGTTGGAGCAAAGAAAAATTGGGGGATTTTTTAATGCTCTTAGTCACCAAAACTGGATTTTGGTAGAAGCAATCAGAGTGCAGTTAAAATGTCTCTCACCAGTGAGATGATAATACTGTGTTCAGTGAACTTGAACCTGAAGGGCAATTCAGATGGTAGGGTGTGGTAATAGGATGGGGTTTTTTGTGTGTAGAGAGGAGCAAGTAAGAGATTGTCTCCTCATGAGAGTCCTTTTGGGCTCTGTATACAGTGAACCCCAAGGAGCATAACGTTGTTCCAAGGAGCAAAGTTCAAGAGGGGCAGCTGGTAGCTGCCTCCAAAATAATCCTTCCTTTGGGGAGCTGTGACTGTGCTGCCAGATCCTGGGGACTGTTCACCATCTCCATTTTTCCTTCATAAAGTAGTCACTTTTGGGGCTGGGGGTGGGAGTGTGAGAGGCTGATGGATTGTGACAAAGAGTATAGGTGTTTAATGGTACTTATGGACATGGGACTTGAACCAACTATGTTCCTCTGAAATGTCAGAAATGCAAGTGGGAGGGAAAGCCTCGTTCAAGCTTTCAGAGCAGCTTTGTGTCTTGAATGGGGAGCTGT